ACATCTATTCTGATTTTGGGCAAAAAAAAAAAAAAAAAAAAACACACATTAATACAAGCCATTTTCATGACTGACACAACCTTAGACTATTATTTTTATCTATTAGAAACAACTATTTATGTATGTATTAAATATTTGTTTTTTGTCATTAAGTTTTTGAAAACGTTTCTCCTCCCCTTTAACGTCTTTATCTGACCTCTGCCTGCAGCTCCTAACACGTGAGTTCAAATAAAAATCGATTGATTGACTTTCCTTAATAGTCTTAATTGTGGGACGATACTGAGAATTGTTGGCCAGTCAGGAATAATTTTCCTGCTCTGACAAATAAAAACCCAAATCTGCAAACTTTCTCCAGAAAATCCTTTACTGCAGCGTTTTTGGGCAAATCGTTCTCCGCTCGCTGTCATACGTTTGGTTTTCCTGCTGACGCTGGTGAAAGTGGATCAGACCGAGCAGCACATCACTAGCTTGTTATTTTAGCCATGATTTGTGTGTCAGGTAACGTTAAAGGATTTTCCCACAGACATTCAGCCTACTCTCTATTAAAGATCTGCTGTTGTTGTGATGTTAGCTCGTCCTCTTGCAGCAGCAACTTTAGTGACAGTTTGCAACCCCACAACAACTTTAATTACTTGCTGTGTCGTTCCCTCTTTATCATCGTATTTGTCAGTATTGGATTTCTTCAGTCACTTAACCCACCTTAAGTTTAACAATATGTTAATGAAGCAAAGTTCCTTATTTAACCCTGATGTATCTAGAAGTTTGAGATGTTGTCTTATCAAGCAAAACCTTTTCCAAACCAATTTATTTTTGGTTTACGTTTGTCCTCTCCTGTAACGTCTCTGTCTGACCTCCGCAGACAGGTCAGGAGAAACAAAGTTTGAGATGTTTTCTTGCATGAAACAAAAGGTTTAAAATATTTTTATTTTTGCCTTTTTGTCTCCAGAAATGTTTTTTACTGGTGGAAAAACTGTATTATATTGTTTGGGCTTCTACAGTATGTGTGACACTGTAGTTTTTGCTGCTTTCAGCAGAGTTAAACTTTGTACTTGAAGTTTAGATTCCTGTACGCCAGCTAAAGCCGAACTATCAGGGTTTGCTGCACGCAGACTGCACAGTAATTGATGCACGTAATACGGAACCAAAGTTCACAAGTTCAACCCCGAAACTGTTAGCTGGACGCTGTTTCTGAAGTCAGCACAATAAGCTGATTGGCATGCAGGTCAGTTACACTACAGCGAGCGCGAGGGATGCACCGATTTATCAACCGAACATTGACATAGTTGACTTAAAATAAGAAGGCATTCACTGATATCAGCTGCTGATGTTTATCTGTTGCACTGGTTAAATGTTGTGTTGGTTGACTGACTCAGATTTCACACCAACAGTGAGCGTCTGTTCTGCTCTGAGTCTCACACCTTGGATGAGAAGAGAAATGAGCTGCAGAGGCAGAGATGTTTATCTTTGTAGATTTATTTCCCTGGTACAAAAGGGAAAATAAGCAACAACAAATCTTCATCGGCTATCGGCCAAATAGTTATTTCAGACATCGTTGTCGACGCAGAATGAGCTTAAATGAAACGGTGGAGCTGGAAGAGTTGCCTGCGTCTTTTAAATCAGTTGTTCGGGAACATTTCGGGGTCCCGATCAGCAGCAACAGAGAGAGTTGTGGGTAAGACGAGGACGCTGTGTTGCTGTTGCTCCACTGTTGTAGTGCAGCACAATACCCAGAATCCTCTTTGTTGATCTCTGTCTGAGTTTCTCTTGAGGTAAAGAAGTTCAGATTTTTTCTGGTCCAAACTCTCATTTTGTGCTGTTAAGGAGACTGTCTAGTTTCTGATTTATAAGTTCTGACTGTGTATGAAGAACATTTCCCACCACTGAGCATGAGTGGAATTCAGAGAGCGCTCATTTGGGTCAGAATTGTGGCGAGATGCTAAAAATGGGTTTATTTTCACTCAGAAAACTTGGCTTGTGAATATTTAAGTATGCGACGGTCCGGGTCACCTTAAACCCGCCGGCAGTTTTAGGACGAAGCAGTTTGAGCCTCAGTGTGACGTCTCACTCGCAGCTGTGGACTCAAACTTTCTGTTATTTTTCCCCCAAAACGCTGAGAGTTGTCTGTGTGCCAGCCATTGTCCAAGCAGCAGAGTGCGTCTGAATGCGAAGGGAAGAATAGAGGCGGTGATGTCATGGTGTTGGTATGTGGACCCCAGAGCGGTACCTTCGATCCCCCCCTTTCTGAGGCTGGAATTTGACTCCAGTGAAATACAGCGAACAGAGAGTTTCCTGAAGGTTTCAGTGGATGACAAAGAGAGAAAGGCGAGCACTGCCAGCTCTCTCTCGCTGCTCTTTTCCCAGCGAGGCTTCAACTTCAAACAGAATCTGACAGAAAGAGTCAGAAAGAGTGCTCGAGGTTTAGTGGTGGAGAGAAACTTCAGTTTGTATTAGCTTTTGTCACATTTTAGTCAAAACTTAGGTCACATTTTTATGTTTTCTGAGGCTGCAGCTGTCGATAGTTGATTAATTATTGTTAATTGTTTTATAATCATGAACATTGACAGGTTTAAGCTTCCCAGATGATTTAGTTTGTGTTAATATGTGTTTTTTTCTCATAAAACTTTCTGAAAACGTTTCCCCTCCCCTGTAACGTCTCTATCTGACCTCCGCCCGCAGCTCCTAACAGGTGAGGAGCTCAGATAAATATCCAGTCATGTCTCAGGTTGGGAAAATTGATTGATTGATTTATTTCCAGTCTCAATAGTGAGACCACACTGAGAATCTTAGTGTCATGTAGTTTTCTGAAGGTACAGCTGTCGATAGTTGATTAATTATTGTTGATTGTTTTATAATCATGAACATTGACAGTTTTAAGCGTCCCAGATGTCTCCGATTTTCTGTTTCTCTCTGTAAACTGAATATCTTTCGACAAAACAAATCAGATCTTCAGATCTTGCAGTTTTCTTAAAAAAAGAGAATGAAAATATTTATTTGTTGCTCATCAGTGTGGAGACTTTTTATATTTTCCTAGTTTTTGTTGCATAAACTGAACTCAGCAAGCTTTATTTCCCGCCCTTGGAATGAGCATGTGTTGAAAACGTGTCATGGTTGCGGCAAACTATGACACGGTGGACCGGCGTGTCCATTACACGCTTTGTTGGGATGCCGGGTTGAACTGAATGTTTTTGTTTTGTTCTGGTTCTCTGTTTTCCTTCATGGACCACTAACGTTAGCCAACACTGCTAGCAGAGACTGAACGTTATCGAATGTAAAGGACAAATTTCCCCCAAATTCTACGGGTCACAGCCGCGATGCATTACGGCTCTGCCGTGGTCAGCAGTGCTGATCACGCCCGTTGTAGTCAATGCTCTGTTCCACCAGAAGTGCCTTTCCTCTCAGCCTCGCAGACATTATGCACCTGCTGACACGAGTCGATTGCAGCACAGTAACAGCATAGAGAATCCATTTTCAAAATAAAATACCGTGTGCAGACTCTGGATTGGATTTCACGCCACATCAACATTGTGGAACCAGACAGGAAGTCAGTCAGTCATTTTGTGTCCTTTTTAAGGACAAAATACATGAGTAAACAGTGTCAGGCAGGAAGACGCTCTGTCTCTGAAACGCTGTCAGTGGGATTTGAACGCGCCCAGATCACAGAGCCAAATCGTGCAGCAGACCTAACGTGAGAAAGTCGTGCTCGGTGGAAATTCAGGGTTAAACTCAACATATCCGCGTGATGTAAATTTAGTTAACGTTGTTGTTTTCTGCAACTATCTGACTAATGAAAAGTGTGTCAACTCTTCTTTATCTATCTGGGTAAACTGACTCAGGGACATTTTATAGATACTAACAGCTGATAAACTGAACAATGAACCCAAACAGTGAACTCAGTAACGGCAGGAAGTTTGTGGAAAACCAGAGATTTGGATGAATATTGATCAGAGATGAGTTTTCTGATGGTTTTAGAAACTTTTATTCAATTATTTGTCTGTATTGTGTATTTCTTGTCTTTCAACAATCATAGATTCTGTCTGAGCAAACAGTTTCAACTATTTTCTTCACAGAATTTGATGAAATGCTGAGATATCGGCCAAACTGTGTATATTTCTTAAGTGTTCTTACACCCCTTAAAATCAAAAAGACCTTGCGACCCCCTGGGTAGCATTGGCGATCCCTAATGGGGGTCCCAAACCTTATGTTGGGAACCACTGGTGTTTATTGGTACTGCTTATTAGTACAACAGGTCAAACTGATGAATCAACTCCTGGAGAAGCTCTGAATCTACAGTGTTTGTTGTTTTTATTTGTTAATGAGGAAAGTGAACTCTACTTCCAGAAACTGATGAAAGATCTCTAACTCGCCACTTTATCTCTGTTACTGTAAGTGGAGGCGTGGTCCGCCACCGCACCCAGGCTGAGGCAAACAGGCATGCCCGGTCACATGCTGGAGGCTGGGGGAGGAGGTGGGAGGTGGAGGTGGGGGGAGGTCTGGTACTCTGTCCTGAAAGATGGAGGTTTGTCTGCGAGGAAAGGCCCCATTATGAGCAGAGGAACAGGCGTGGAGCTGAACTCACATCCCCCTGAACAATATGTGTGGAGTCGAAACAGGAAGAAACACGACACGCTCCACCCTGAAAACAAGAAAATAAACGGGTTCTGTCTGTTTGAGAAATTATTCTTTTTAATCTAAAGCGGTTAAAGTCGTAACTCCTGTCAGCGTCAAACACGCACTTTCAGCCAACAGGAACTTGTGTTTTTACCACTTTTAGCTCTTGAACTACAAATCACGAGTACTTTATGTTTCTTCCAGACACTTTTGAATGCAGGCGACATATTGGCAGATTTATGGATGTGTTTTTTCTTTTGTTTCATTGGCTTCTATTCATTTCTGTGTAATATGAAAATCAATTTGCAGGCTATTAAAACCCACTGGAGTCGTTTAATCCACTGGTTCCTGAAGAGTTTCCTTAAAGGAAACATTTTCTGTCAGTGAGTAAACTGACTGTATTTTATATATATTTCATATTAGATTTAATAATGACAATAACAGCAGAGAATGTTTTGACAGATTCTCTGTTTTTTTCATTGTTCTATCAGCTCTTTGGTTGGTTTCTGAGGCAGGACGAGAAACTGAAGCTCTAGTTAATATACACTGTTACATCTTCAAAGGTTTACAGTTTAAGTTTTTATTCAAAGAAATTAATAAAATGCTGAAGATTTGATTCTTAAAATGTGAAAAATACCACAAAAACAGCAGCCATTGGAGGATAACTGTGTCGGAAGGGAGGGAGAAAAACACTTCATATTCATTTCATTTACTAATGCCAAATATTAAAAATAGCCTGATTTTATTTGAGGTCCAGTAGTCAGCTCGAACGAGAGACACCAGCTTTAATTACACAGAGAACAAAATGAAAGCAGCACAGAAACACATCCTGCCACATGTTCAGTTATTTTATGATATTGACAGAAGATAAAATCAGTTAATGTTGGATTTTTATTACATTTCTTTCTTATTGACGTATTAGCTTTAATATAATAGTTCACCCTGTTGTTGCTTCCACGAAGCTCTCGTCTCTTGAGATTAGAGTTAAAGTAGTTTCGAGGAAATTTTTACAGTCAGAACTACGGAAGCCCAGAGAGGTGCAGAATATATATTGTGTGTTATGTCTTTCTTTTGGCTAGAGATCGCTTTTAATCTGTACTAAGATAAATTAAAACTCAGCTGGAAGGAAACGAATGCTTTTAGCCTTTTTTTATTTTTCATTTATGGAGTAATGGTATTTTATATCAGTTTATAGAGTTTATACAACTATTTGAAAAATATCTTTGTGGAGGTGGGTGTGGTTTGCACTCAGCTGCAGGAGAGAGAGGTGTGGGGAAGGCTTGTGAGAGCAGCACCAGGTGAGTTGATTACCTCAGCTGTTAATCGTTGCCACTTCACCTTTATACTTGCAGTAGTGCACTGGACCGGGGCCGGAGACCACTACTGAGAGCGAGAGCTGCAAGAGTAGTTTAACGCATATGTGTTGTGTTGGCACTGGATTGCCGACATGTTACACAATAAGCCGGGATATTAAGAAACGAGATTTGTTATGGTTTCCGTCCCCTTGTTTTCAATTTTTGTTAATAAGCATCGTGCGAACACATTGTTGTTCAAAAAAGTTATTTACATCAACATTTCCGCATAAAAACCCCGTTCCGAGCCGCGCACATATACATGCCAAACTATTGGGCGGCATGTTAGGGAGAATAGGAAAATCTCATGCAACCAATCAGAACTCCTCAGAAGTTGGAAGAACGAATTAACACGACGAGCTCCTGATTGTACGATTTAGTTGGATGTAGCAGTAATCAAACAACGTAATACATAGGCGCTCACGTGGGACGTGTAAGGCCAGTTGTTCGTGCGCAGGTAAGTGTTGACGTTTGAGAAACCTATAACGCGCTCCGTTTCGTTTCTCCTAAGTTGGGAACGGGCAACTACATAACCTGGCGTTTTCATGAAAATCTCTCCACTTTGGCCTGGAATTTTTTAGAAATGATATTGAGGTTTTCATGGTGATAAAAACGGGGTTTGTCTGGTGTATTAATGAAGAGGCCAAACCGCAAAATCGGCGGGTTTTTTTTCCTTCGTGGTAAACGGGGCTGAGTCTAAGTACAGAAGGTACGTTGTATCATTATATGTAAGCATTAAAAGGTTTGTATAGTTGGTTTGGACTCCTGTTACTAGAAAAGATTTCAAACACTGATATGTGGAACCTAAAATAAGTACGTAAACCGCCGAACATAAATACTGAGGGGGGGGGGTGGGTGGTGACGGCTGAAAGAGGTGTGTGGGTGCTTCAGCCCTCCTGTGACTGGAAAGAGTATTGACTAACAACAAACAATTACGTAACAAAATAATGTAAATAATTAAGAAAATAGGGTTTGACTAAAGCTAAAACATTAATGAAGTACAGTTGCGGTGAAATTATGAATTATTCGCAACGTTTTAGTTATACAGATTTGTTGTTAGGTTTTTTTTTCTAAAGAATGAAATAAATTAGTTAATACAAGATTATTTAAAACTTAGTTTAGTGTATTTTCCAAACTTAAATGTTTCAAGTTTTACTAAAATCAAAAGAAAACAGTGACGACAGCGTGCCTTTTGAAAGAGTTGTTCTTGCAGCCCAACCAGATCTCCTTCGCATGAGACATTAACATGTGTACGGTATCCTGTGAGTTATAACCTGCAGGGAGGAATATTTAGAAGTTGATTTTCTGCTTCCAACCATGGGTATCCCGCTGTCAACTCATGCAGCAAGCGTTTCCCACCACCCAGAAGCGTTCTTCAGTTGTGTTACTGCTGAAGTCTCTCGGGTGAACTGGCTGGCGGCCATAATTGGAGTGTCCTCCACCCGCGGGCCCGGAGCCAGTAGCGCCGCCGAGCTTGTTCTATGTTTCACGGTTACTGCGTCATGCGGTCCGTTAGCCCCGGTTAGCGCCGTTAGCTCGTTCCAGGCTGGATAGGGTCCTGTCAGAAAGAGGGGCTCCAGCTGGATTCTTCTGGGCCCGTGTCTGTGCGCAGTGGACACCTGGGATACCTGCAGAGTTGAAGCCAGATACAGACCTGAACACAGAGGAGAATACATCTAATACATCAGTAATATCTATTTATGGAATTTAATTCAAAAAGTCGATTTATTGAGTTGATTGACGGAAAAGCGAAGTGGAAGATCAATGTACTAGTTTTTGGCACTTCTCGTTAAAAAATGTGGTTCCAGTTTTAACAGAACCAAAGTGTTTTTCAACAACATGTAAAATAAGTTTTAAATATAACTTATTGTATATATGACGTTTCCAAATTTACGAACTTTGGTGCCAAAAATATTTGGATATTATTCTGTAAATTCGCTGCAATAACTTGAGTACGATTCTCAGAAATGCTAAAATAACTCAATATAGAGATTAAGAGATGCCAACGATTAGTTGAAGTTATTGAATAAAAAAAAAATAAATATATGATTCATAAACATCTCTTCAGAATGTTGCTGCTTTTCTTGGGTCTTAATTGACAAAATAAAGAAAATTTTAAACATTGTCAAAGACTGTAATCGAAATCTCTGTTTGACCTGAATACGTCGGCAAGTGGTTGTGTCTGGTGTATGGGTGTGTGTGTGGGTGTTGTGTGTGTGGTTGTGTGTGTGTGGTGTGTGTGGTGGTGTGGTGGGTGTGGTGTTGTGGTGGTGTGTGTGGTTGGAGGTGTTGGCTTAAGCTAGCCGTGAACCCCCGGTCAGAGGACAGGAGGGAGGAAGAGGAGAGGGAGGTTTGTTGACGAGGCCTCCAGGCTGGAGCAGCTCTCAGGAGACAAAGCCAGGACCTGGCCCTCTATCAACACTTCCTTTCCCAACACAGCCACCAAGAAGCAAGCTGAAGTCATGTGATGGTCGACTTCAGACCCCCCCCTGACCCCCCCAGCCTCTCCGCTGACCTCCCCGACACCTGTCCCTGACTGACAACTGAGAGGAACGAGAGAAACTGACTGAGTCTCCAACTCACTTTCCTGGCTTAGTTCTTTATGTTCCCACCTCCTGCATGCTGCATTCATCCCGCCACGACGCGCAAAGAACCAGGAGATACTCAACAAACCACGGTCAGTTCATACAGGAGGAAAAACTGAATAATGTTTCTGATATTAATACATTATAAGCTGTTAAACTCAACAGAAACAGGCAGTAATGATTGTGGAATCTGTAACAGCAGCAATCACAACAACCAACCAGACCTGGGAGTTACAGTCCTGGTGTCAACACAAGAATAATAACTTCAACTTCACGGAAACTGTCCTGACTGGACGTACGATGGTACGTGAACAGTTACTGACTAATTAACCCTGGCACAAACGGCTCCGCTTCCTCTCATTTTCATCTCTCTGTATGCTGCCTGAACCCGCCGGGTCTTCCAGTCCCCCAGAGTTCCAGAAGTTCAGAGTCCTGGTCGGTCCCGCACTGGGTCCCTCTGCTGCTACCTACAGTTGTTTAGAACCCCCCAGTCTTCCAGTCGCGTACCAGACAGCTAATAGGCTATACAGTTCATATGGCAGCAGTGCA